AGTACTCATAGCCAGAGTGCCTGCCAAATAGCGGTACATTTGTCGGCGAACGCGCCGGTGAAACGTCGCGTAATAATGGCGACAGCTAGAATGCATGCGATTCATCCAAATGGTTCTAGTGTCCCGTGTCGTGTATTGTTAGATAGTGCATGCGAGGCACACCTTATTACGCGCGCGGCGTGCAATCGAATCGGCGTCAAACGAAATCCCGCCACAGCAGTTGTTACAGGGATAAATGAAAGCGAAACACCGATACAACAAGTATGCGATATCGTTTTACAATCGAGCCATTCTAATTTTCGCATCAATGTACATTGTCTTATCGTTCCAAGGATAACGAAAGACTTGCCATCTGTTGAAATACCTCGCGAAGCGTTGCAAGTTCCGTCGAATTTAATGTTAGCAGATCGCGAATTTGATAAACCCGGTACTGTTGACATCTTGCTAGGAGCCGAATACTTTTACGAATTGTTAGAAACGGGAAAAATAGAGCTTGGCGTTGATCGCCCGGTCGTACAGAACACGAAGCTTGGGTGGATCGTTGCCGGACCTCTTGCATTATCAGCGAATTCGTTTGCCACAGTCACCAATAATGTCGCGTCGCTTTGCTGTTTCGCACAACAGTGCGAATCTCTCAATAAATCTCTCGAACGATTTTGGGCAGTTGAACAAGGCGGTCCGGAAACGGCCACAATCCGGTCCGAAACTGAGCGACGATGCGAAGAATTATTCGATAAAACTACTAAGCGCGATGATAACGGTCGATTCATAGTCCGTCTGCCGATTGTCGAAGGCACGGAACCGTTAGGCGAGTCAAGGGATATCGCCGAGAAGCGATTGAAACAAATGGAACGTAGATTCAGGAATAACGTTTCATTACACGAACAGTATGCAAATTTCATGCGCGAATATGAAGAGTTAGGTCATATGTCGCAAGTTGTCGATGAAGAACACAAGGTTAATTCGTCAATAGTATATTTGCCTCATCACGGCGTTGTGAAAGAGGATAGCACTACAACCAGATTGCGCGTAGTTTTCGATGCGTCGAGCAAGACAAGCTCCGGTAAATCACTCAATGATATACTGATGGTCGGTCCGACTATTCAGAAATGTTTATTCGAAATAATGATTCGTTTTCGTATGCACAAGATTGCGTTGACCGGAGATATAAGACAAATGTATCGTCAGATAGTCGTCGAGCCACAAGACCGCGATTATCAAAGAATTTTGTGGAGACGTTCTCCAGACGAGCCGATTAAAGAGTATAAGTTAAATACCGTCACATATGGAGAAGCGAGCTCATCTTACTTAGCGACTAAATGTATATATAGACTTGCGGAGTTGGGGGAATGCGAGTACCCTGACGCTTCTAGAATTTTACGCGACGAAATATATGTAGATGACATCATGACCGGTGCCGAGGATGTCAGTAGCGCGATTGTATTGCAAAGGGAAATCACGGAGTTGTTAAAATCCGGAGGTTTTCAAGCTCATAAGTGGTGCTCGAATGCCACAGAAGTTCTAGCCCGAGTTTCTCAGGATAACAACGAGACCATTACGACACTTAGCATCGATAACAAGGACACAGTCAAGGCTCTCGGTTTAGAATGGAATCCAAGGGAAGATACTTTCCAGTTTGCAATGCGCGAACTCAAAGCGGTGAACACCAAGCGACAAATGTTCTCTGCAATCAGCAAGTTTTTCGATCCGCTAGGATTGGTAGGACCAATCATTACTCGAGCTAAATTATTCATGCAAGAGACGTGGAAGATAGATTGTAACTGGGACGACCAGCTTCCCGACGAATTGCTTCGCAGATGGAAGAAGTTCAGCGACGAGTTGATGGCTATAGGAAGATTACGAGTTCCACGATGCGTCGTCGCTTGTGATGATGCACGACGATTGATCCTGCATGGATTTTGCGATGCGTCCGAGCTCGCCTATGGCGCCTGCATATATATGCAAGTTGAGAACTCTCAAGGAGAATTCAGTTCGAGAGTGTTGTGCTCAAAATCACGCATAGCCCCGATTAAAACAGTATCATTGCCTCGCTTAGAATTGTGCGGCGCCGTCTTGTTGGCGCGATTACTTGTCGTCGTTCGCACAGCTATTCAAGTACCGATTGAAAACGTACGAGCATGGTCCGACTCTGAAATCGTTCTGTATTGGATCAAGGGTGACCCATCTCGTTGGAAACCGTTTGTATGTAACAGGGTGTCCGAAATCATCGAAACCCTGCCAGCAAAACATTGGAGTCACGTAAGCGGTAAGGAAAATCCGGCTGATGTGATATCCCGTGGCGCCAGTCCACGTCAACTCGAAAATCTAGAATTATGGTGGGCGGGACCGCCATGGCTGCTCACAGGAGAAATAAGCTCCGACGACGATTGCGGAGTGAAGCTACCAATGGAGAATCACGAGTCGATTATGATGGAAAGGCGTAAGGCAAAACAAGCATGCCAGATCATTGTTCAAGGACAACCATGTATTCAAATGCTATTAGAGAATATTTCTTCTCTAACTAAAATCGAACGCGTACTCGCATATTGCAAGCGATTTGCGTCAAACGCTCGAAAGAAAGCCTCCGAGCGAGCGGTAGGTCAATTATCAATTACCGAGGTACGAATGGCACACCGTAGCATCATCCATCACGTACAGTCTAAATATTTTCACGATTCGATTTCCACATTGAAGGCCAATCAGTTTTTGAAAACAACAGACAAGCTTGCAGCATTAGCTCCCTTTCTTGACGAACACGACATACTCCGAGTGGGAGGTCGCTCGCAACGTACCAATTGGAGTTTTGAGCGAAAACATCCAATACTATTGCCGTCGAATGACAGATAAGTAAATAAGGATAATATCACGTAGGTTTTTAAATATGGTTCTACTAAACAGCAAATGTGATTGACAGTATTGGCGTTGGTGAAACTGGCCCAAATGATTTTTTGACCAGCAGCATCCAACTTAGCGCTTTTTTATCTTTTTTTTAAAAAAGGTAAGTTTATAAAGATAGTACCAAATGGGATTTACTTTTTAATTTAGTAGAATTTAAATAATAGTATTACATGGTAGTATTTTTAAAGATAGAATTTAACTTGGTATAACCAACTCAAAACCGGAAGTTCAAACAAAAATTAGAATAAAGATAGTACTACATGGGTTTTTAAAGGTAGAATTTAACTTGATATAACCAACTCAAAACCGGAAGATGAAACAAAAATTTGAAATTTGACTAACGAAAGGTTAAAGACCTTCAATTTAAATCATTTTCATATATATTTGTTCCATTGCATTATCTTTCAATAATAAAATGTATTATGTTAAAATATTTTAGAGAATATCAATGTAGACATACTGGAAAAACACCGTTCGGATACTATCACCAAGAATAATGGTTACAAGAGAACAAAATACAATACGAAACACATTTGTGACAACATTATTAGAATATAGCATGATTTTTGTTTAAGAGAAAAAGATTTCTTTACATGTAAATATAATATATTAGTTTTCTATCTATTTGATGCATACCGTACACGTATCGAACCATTACACAGGCCCACAAAAAAATTGTTATTTTTTGTACGATGAATGCTACTATGATATTCCCATGTATTTTTTCCCGCTGAAACCGAATCCATAATCCGTTTGACCCCTACACGTCAGGATTTTTTTAACCTCAAAAAAAACGATAAGAGTACTGAAGAGTACCGATTAGGGGACCTTCCCCCAATGACCTTGACCTTGACATATGTTGTCAAGGTCATGACCCTGAGTTACCTCCAACAGGTTTTAGCCGTCGCTCGTCCTTCGTTAAAAAGTTATTAACAATCATAGTTTTAAAATTATGATATTATAACTTTAAAACTATGATTGTTAATAACTTTTTAACGAAGGACGAGCGACAGCTAAAACCTGTTGGAGGTAACTCAGGGTCATGACCTTGACAACATATGTCAAGGTCAAGGTCATTGAGGGAAGGTCCCCTAATCGGTACTCTTCAGTTACTCTTATCGTTTTTTTGAGGTTAAAAAAATCCTGACGTGTAGGGGTCAAACGGATTATGGATTCGGTTTCAGCGGGAAAAAATACATGGAAATATCATAGTAGCATTCATCGTACAAAAAATAACAATTTTTTTGTGGGTCTGTGTTATTTTTTCTATAATTGTTAATTTAAAAATACACGAATGGTGTATAAGCCGGTAAGAGTGTTAGCGCTCGGCTCGATTCGTTTTAGTTTTAGTTTGTCCCACTCGGCGTTGTATGCGCGATGGTTAGTTTTTTTCCGTTCTTGTATAAGTTATATGGTAAGTTCGTTCATGGAAGCGCGCGAGGCGCACGTTTTTGTTCACAATTATTTTGCATCAATTTTGCGAGAAATAAAGCAAGTTAAACAAGTTTTGCAAGTTCATTCAAGTTTCTATACCCAGCCGAACAAATGGCTTTAATAATTATACATGGTGTTCCCGGCTTAAATGGCAAAATTTGAAATACGTATTTAGGATCTCAAAACAAAGAAAAATTTCCTCTGGAAGAATTCTCACAAACGCTTCGTTCAAGAGATATTGACTTATTAAGTTACTCAACTGTAGAAATATTTTAATATCGAAATGTCGCTTTTTGCTTTGTTTTGAAAGTCGTAGGTCGTTGATAGGCTTATGTTCGCAATGTAAACAAAGCTCCTTTCATTTGTAATGACCTTCAATCATTAAAACGGAGGATAGAGCAAGCGTGCAATGAAATTATAGCCACACAATGCCAATCAGCCATTCGTTCTGTCATCAATAGATGTAATGCTTGTCTCCGAACTGGAGGCCGTCATTTTGAACAAAATATTTAATAATTAATTTGTTATTACTGTAAAGCAATAAAGAAGTTAAACCTGTCTTATTTTGACATTTATTTATTCCTATAGTTTTGTAATTTAAGAAGTATTATAAACTAAATAATAACTTAATTATTTCGTACGAATGAAAGGAGCTTTGTTTACATTGCGAACATAAGCCTATCAACGACCTACGACTTTCAAAACAAAGCAAAAAGCGACATTTCGACATTATAATATTCCTACAGTTTAGTAACTTAATAAGTCAATATCTCTTGAACGAAGCGTTTGCGAGAATTCTTCCAGAGGAAATTTTTCTTTGTTTTGAGGTCCTAAATACGTATTTCAAATTTGACCATTTAACCCAGGAACACCCTGTATATTAGGCTGTTTATTAAGAACTTTACTTATTTAAAATAAAAATATAACAAAAAAGAGGAAAAAACAGCAGAGATTTGAACACGGGATCTACAGCATACTAATCTCGCACCTTACGCTCGAGATCACGCTGTGTTCTTATAGAGATTTCGATTACGAATAGGGTACATGACGTTCACGGAAAATCATAAACAATTAATATCATAGAACTTATAATACTGGAATAGGAATAACCATGGTGGAAGTATACATGGTGTGCTCAGAACTCGTAAACCACGCCCCTTTTCAACGCGGTTGTCACCGAAAAACATAGGGCGGCCAACTTAGAAAGGTTGGCAGTACTGAACTAGTAGTGTTTCTTTTATGCATGCGCCGTGGAGCATCTATCTCAGTCTGTCTTTAGCCGTCTCCTGAAAGAAACGTGCAGGCCTGTTATTTTGAAATTAAAGTGAAAATTTGAAGTAAAATGGTGCGGTGTATTGTTAAAGCGTGTAAGAACACCAACATAACGTGTACTCCGGAGGAAGTAAGCTTCCACAAGTTGCCGAATAATGCCATTATGCGTGAAGGGTGGCTTAAAAACATAGGAGGAAGTGTAATTCCATCCAATACTCTAAATGGTAAGTGTTGATAATAGTAATATTTAATAACTTTAAGTCAAATTTATGTCAATGTTTATTTTTACTTCGATTTTGTTGAAACATTATAATATT